AATGATAAAATTTTAATGTCATCAACAGATCCAGCCACTCTTGAATGTGCAACACTATCTGGATCTGAATTCTTCAAATATGATTACAAATCTTCTAATTTAGCTAATTTTTTAGCAATTACTGTTGCCAGTACAGATGCTTAAGGTCTCCTTAATATGTTTGTTTATAACACTAATGAATTACAAACCAAATTTCTATAATTTGCTATAAGTAATCTATAAGTTAAATTCCATTCCTCATTATATCCAGATGAATATCTATTAGACTTTTATATTGGATCATTTGATTAAATTGAAAGTACTTATCCAATATTCAAATAATCTTTCCTAACAAATGCTTACACAATTACATCTCCTTCTCCAGCATTCATAAGATTAGGCATAGTTAACTATTTTTCAAGTTCTTCCTCAGGAAACACTTGTGATTACTTCCCTACTTTAATTAGGTTATCAGGATACTTTCAAGACACTGATTTAGAAAATGCTCAAACTAAGATTTCTTTATTTTTTACTAATCTTCAACCAATTTACATTTCATCTGACTTTGAAAATGATAATAGAGTATATTGTAAATATACTGGATAAACTTAACCAACTTGTTAATATTATTCATCAGGGTTATTAGCAAATGGTTAATCGTATATCAATTATGAAAGATTAGATGTAGAATTTGAATCTTTACCAACCAACTAAGCTGATGCTTTCTAATTATTAATACCTGTAAAGACATTTGCATCTAATACTAAAGTGAGTTTCTTTCTTACAGCTGTTGTTGAAATCAATAATTTAATTCAAATAAGAACATCATTTAGATTAACTGGAAAAGATAACATCAGCAGTGGATAATATGCATTTCCATTATCAGTGGCAGGATTAGGTAATGGATTTGCAAGAGCTGGTGTCACTTCTGCATTAGAATCTGATGGCATTACTCCTATACCATATTAATTATAAGTTAGTTCAGCCATCACAGTAGGCAAGAATAATACAGATTTGACATTCTTTATTGGTCACAATGATGTCAGTTTCATCAATATAAATACAGTTTCAAATGATAATTAAAATGGTGGTGGATTCACTCTTGTCTCTACTGAACCTTTCTATACTATTGATTCTACCCTTAAAGCTCCAATATCTGTAGATTCATCAAAAGTTTCAGGATGTATGACTTTTGAGTATCTGACTAAGTTTGTCATATTTTGTCCTACAGATAAAGCCAGTGATTCACCATTAACAACATTGACAATTAAAGCAGGTAATCTACCTTTTATTAATGGTGATAAATTACCTTACAGAACTGTCTATGCTTGGAGTGACAAGGTTAATGGCTTAGGAGTCTTTAAAGTAGATGTAGATACTTTAATCACACTCAAGGGAGTAGTCAAAATATTATAGGTCTCTCCAAAACTTGAGATTGGGTAGAAATAATAAAGAATCTAAATTAAATTTTATACTACCAATCCAATTCCTAATTAAGCTACTATTAGATTAGAATTTTATGAATTAATTCCTACTATTAATTTTGATGCCATTAACAAAGGATCTAGATGTTCAATTGAAACAGCATTATATGGATTGTTAAGTCATACTTGCACTGTATCTAGATCTACCTCAGGATCTAATGTATATTTTTTATTCAAAATAACTAATTGTGATAGTTGTCCATGGACTAATGGGTAATTTACACTTAATATATGGGGATTGAATAGTTTACACAGTGGTGCTGTTTAGAAATCTTAATTTCATATGAGAATAATGTCAGAATATTTGAATACTATTGATGTATCGAAAATTCAAGGAGCTATTGAATATGATGATGATCCAAATGTAGCTTATGTTGCATTCTTTGGTAATCCTATATTCCAATTTTACAATAGAAGGGCAAAAGGATAAATCAGTGTAGATTTTCAATTCACTCGTAGTATTTGGAAATAGGAATATGTATTGATTAATATTGGTGGATTTTTTGATGACAATCAAAGAAATCAAAAAAATATTATTTGTTAAGTCTAATAATAAGGATAGCCATCATATGTTTTTGGATAAGCAGATTACACTCTAGATAGAGGAAGTTCAGTCAGTGGAATTAAATTGTATCCCATTGATGACATCATTGGATCTTAGATTTTCACTTTAAAGTGTTATGGCATGGTTATACCATTTAGTTTGAATCCAGAGCCCATGGATGCCAGTCTTATTTTATAAGGAACATTTTTAATCATATAATCATCAGGCACTATATCATTAGACTCATTATATGCTGAAACTATTTTGCCAATAAAAAACATTTAATTAACTTAGAAACTCAATAATTTATGTGGATCAACAACTGATTTCTTTATTAATGTTACGACTACTTTGATAGATGTAAAATTAGGTACTTCCATATTTGTAGTCTTTCCCACTACTTATCCTTTCATTGTCTCAAGTAATCTTACTTATTGTTCTTTAAATAATTTATTTGTTGCATGTTCGGTTGATGTAGAAAATACAGTGATATTAGAAAATTTTGATATATCAATACCAAGAGGTTAAGAAATGCAAATAAGAATTTATGGTGCTCAGAATTCAGCCATTTATAATGATTAAGCAAATGAAATCTTTGTGGCCTTCACTAATAATATAGATATTACAGTATTAGGTGAATATGGTGTGGTTTATGATTTAATTGGATAGGATATGGTCACTACTCCTCCAAATAATATTTTAACATTATGGATTGATACAACTCAATAATATATCAGAGCGTTCAGTACTATAACTTTTAAAGTTTCTTTTCCTGCAGGTGCTATTGATATCTCTAATATAATATAAATAGAATTTCCACCTGCATGGGATATGATAATAAATTATAAACTACCGATTTGTTCTCTCTATGATCAAAATAATTTGACCAATTATGCAAAGTCTTGTATAAATTTTGGAAATAGAGTCACTATTACAATTAAACAAAGTGATTACATAGGCTCATAATTTTATTATCTGATCTTAGCCAATGTTCGTAATCCCGATTATGCTGTTTGTGGTATTAATATGTGGACAATTACTGTTCTGAATTCAACATATGTATTTGGTAGATCACATGCTCCCAATTTTAATATTCCCATATTTCCATTTATTTCAAATCCAAATTAAGTGACTCTTAAATGGATAGATATGAACACTAGACAAAGTATTAGGACATTATAAGTAAAGACAGGAATTTTTGATCAAGTGATAGGATTAGCATCAGATGCAGGTTTATTTTTACGTACTTTCCAAATCTATTGTGATAATCCATATTTTATAGCTAATCCAACTTCTGCTGTTGCTCCAATGGGATAGGCTTATACAACCTTCACAATAGCAGGTACAAGTAAAGCACCATAAGGATTATAATTGATTGAAATTGCGAAAACAGATGATTTTGAAAAGCATACTCAATTACCTTTTCTTAGAGTATTCCTGTCATAAAAATCTTGTATTTTGAATACAGAAATGACACTTTATTAATTGACTCTAGGAGGTCAAGCCCTTCCGATTTTATTTAATCTGACAGATTGTTAACCTGCATCAAATCTTCGTATTGAAGCAACATCAGATACAGATAAAATATATTTTAAAAGTAAATCATCAATAACTTTTGGACTTAATTAAAAAGTGGGAGCCTTTCTTTTTGCATCTGAAGACAGTGGAATAAGTGTAGGTGATTCAGGATTGATTACTTTTTAAGTTTAAGGATCTTATTAAAAATATTACACAACTGTAGATCCTATAAGTTATAGAATAATTGATATAAATAAAAAAAGACCAACATCAAGTCTGTTTAGTGTAGATAGAGGATCAAATTATGTAAAATTTATAGTATCTTGTAATCAATATGCAGTTGTTTATTATTATATATCAATAAATGGATCAGAAATATTATATCCTGAAGAAATATAATAAAGAACATTTCTATGGACAGAACCATCTATAAATGATTATTATCATTAATTCTTTGGATTAAAGAATGTGTTTGTACCTTTGAAAAATTATACAGTTGTAGTAAGTGGACTTAGACCATCTACTACTTATAATATTACAAGTGTATGTAAAAATGTTGAAACCAAATTCAGTGTGGCTACAACTATTTTACAAACAACAAAATCTAATAATGGAAAGTCTTTTTATATTGATTTTATTTTTGATAGTGAAATAGATTTAGAATTTTCTACTAGTATTACATGTTTTTTAACACAGTAATTTAAAGTTCCAGCTAGACTTATTCGTAATTCTATTAATACTTGGTGTTCATTATAGAGAAGACGTATATTAAGTACAACAAATGATATTGTTTATAATGAGAAAAATGTTAGAATGTATGTTAGTTTAATAGATTTTGAATTATAAGATACTGTTACAGCATCTTTGCTTACAAAAGGAATAAATAAAACTTAATTTATATCTGATTTATATGATTAAGTTGCTGGATTACCTAATTTAGTTAAATTATCTGATTTAACTGCTATCTCTACAACTGTTCCAATATTTTAATATGAAGTTACTTTAAATATTAGTACAAATTCAATTGCATTATTAAATATCTCTTTAGATTAAGAAGGTTTTGTCTATTGTATGATTGATTTCAATAACAGAACAAAGATGCCTACTTTTTATGATTTAAGAGAAGGTAATGCTCTAAGAAAACCAGAAAATAATACATATTATGAAAGATAAAGATTTAATAAATCAAGTTCACTCAATTTCACTTTTGATGGTTTAACACATTATACTAATTATTCAATTTATTATTATGCATCTAACGATGATCCAAGTGAACATTAAATAAGAACTTATGTCTATGAGATTAATTTTAGAACTGCTCCTAAATATGAAATGTGGGGTATGATCATCATATTCAGTATTTTGAGTATGAATATTATTCTTATATGAAAGAACAAATGTTTTTATTATAAAATTATCAGTAAAAATTCTTTAATAGATATATTTAAATGTGAACAAAAAAAGAAACTAATTAATCAATGCTTCTCAAATATATGATGAAGCAAATCTTAAACTAATAATATGATTATTGATTAAGGAGCCACTCTAGCAAAATAAACAGGTAATCCAACCCATAATCCTGTTATTCTCTCTCTTTATATTGTCTTTATAAAACAATCAAACACTCCTTAATAAGGATACTATCCATTTTCTTAAACTTTCATTTTCTAAAGTTTAGTCTTCATATTATCAAAAGGTAAAGATAAAAAAGATGTAACAACACCAGCCCCAACAGAAGCCCTAATTATTAATATTTATATGTACATTATTCGATCTGACATAGTTTCCTTTTTTCTTAAGAATATTTTCATACACCATTGTTTCATTTCATCATAAGTTGTTAATTAACCAACTGTTATTGCTATTGCTCTTAATACTGTAGGTGTTGATCCTCTCCATAATGTTGACACTCCTTCCTCCTTTGTTATTCTATATAAAGCATCAAAAGCGTTTTTGTAATTTCTTCGTTCTGCAACTGGCAAAGTTGCATCTGCTTAAAATCTTACCAAACAAATATCTGTAGGATTACCAATCAAAGCTCCACATAAACCAGAAAATGATGATGCACACACTTTCTCAAAGAAACTTAGATCCCCTAAACAATTTATCAAATATTCTTACTTTTTTAATTGATCTTAACTTAATCTGCAATCACCTTGTATATTCCTAATCTTGCTGTAGCATAAGTCAATTGTCTAAGCATTGCAGATCCAAATCTATTAATATGATATAGCATTTCTAAATACCCTTAATAGAATCCTTTAAATCCTTCTACTCTATACATCTCTTTTGCCACTACAATAGGAGAAACCTTCATTGAACCATTACTTATCCCTTTACTTTCACTATAAATCTAGAGTCTAACTTTCCATGTATCCAAAGGCATAATAACTGCAACTGCTGTACATCCTGAAATTCCTCCAAAAAGGAATGGCTTTATGTAAGATGCTTTATTATTTGAATTAGACATATAAATATTAATTCTGGCATTTATTATATTTTCTGCGACCTTTAAGTATTGAAATCATTGATATTTACAAAATCATAGAATCTTTGTTTAAAACAATGATCTTCATTACATTCTATATTTTAAACATTATTTACTATTCCATAATAATTTAATAACTGTTTATTGTACTATTCCATTCATTTAATTCATAATCAACTCTTATTATATGATAACAAGTACTTTTCATTGCTTATAAGTCAATCAAATAAGCTTAAGATGAATTACTTTGATTGATAATGGATTATTAAAAATAATGTCATTGATTTATTGTCTAAATATTAATTCAGTCCATTAGATATTCATATATTGTATACAGATTCCATTATCTGGAGATTTATAATAGTTTAAAAAATTACATAAATGATTACAAATATAAGATAATCATTATGATGGATATTTTACTGTTTATTGAACTAACTCTTTTAAAAATTCTTATTACTATAATCCCTGCCCCTGATTATTATTATTAATCTCACCAGTTTAAGGATGGTACTATTAATATTAATTTTGTGAATTTTATTGGATTGGAGATGGTTAATTAGGATATTATAATTAAGGAGGATATATTAATTAAGGAGGATACAATAGTTGAGGAGGGAGTTGTTATTATTATGATTTTTATGGTTGTGAAAGTTGTTATTGTTTTGATGATTATGGGTTTTATTACTATAATAATAATTTCTTACGATCGGTTGGCTTTGGAGATATATTCTATAATTTCATATACTGTATTATTTAATTATGTAACTTAGCCAAGACTTATTTAGCTAAGAGAGCAGGATCATTTTTCACTTAATTGAAAGGAACAAATTAAACCAAATCTCTAACTAATATATTTCCTTTGCTATCTAAAATTTGATTGAATTAATTATTTAATACCGACATATTATCAAAATTGCCATTACCGATACCGATTATTATAATTGATAATGGTAAGTTGGAAGAAGCAATTATATCATCAATAAATACTTACATATCACTTACTTGTCCATCTGTGAGAATCATCAAAATCAAATAGTCTTAATTCCCCTAATTTTGTTTATATTAATTAGCTATATTCATTGCATTTTTCAAGTTTGGAGTTAATTAGGCTGGATCATCGAAAAGCAAATAAGGCAATGATTTTTTATAGCATTAAACTATTTCATCTAAACCATATACTCTATTATAAATTATAAAAATATTACTCAGGATCATCTGGGTTATCATTAAGAGGGAATAAATGAAGAGTTTGATTAGTATTAATCAAATTCATTTTAGGTTTGCATCCAAAACCATAAAGAGATATCTTCTTAGTATTATCATAATTAATTAGAATTTCCACTAAACTAGTTATGGCTTACAAATATTGATTAGATCCTCCATTTTTTGGTATATAATGTAATGAATTTGGATCATTTTATTTACCATTTGATTTTGTATAATCAATTGCTATAATAAATTTTAATTATTATCCTCCACTACAATAGTCTATAAATGTATAATTAGGATTATATAAAAATCTATTAAATTATAGAATTCCTGAGGATTCTTATTTTTTCATTTTATTTTTAAACTCCTTTTTTAATATCTTATTCTATATATTATACTCTATTAATTCATCTACACAAAATGATGTTTCTCCTAAATATAAATGCTTACCATTTTTTCTATGATCCCATAATTCAACTTTTATTTACATTTTATAATCACCATCGCATAAATGTAAAGATTTAAAATTTATTTCTTTCCATGTTGGTTCTTTTGTATCTTTAACAAACTCAGTTTCATAAACTAAAACAGGAATATTATCATCCTATACTAATCTATAGAATCTTAAAAATGGAGATGTTCCATGCCAAAACCAAAATCTAGTTTCTGGTATACCATAACTTGATAAAGTAAGATTTAATTCTTCTTTTATTTACTTAACTATATTTGCTTAAATAATAAAATTTCCACTCCTTCTTCCAGAAATATTAACTAAATCTCCTATCAAAATTTGATCTTTTGAACCAGCTATTATAGCAACTGTAGTTTCTGCAATACCAATAATCTATAACATTAATAAATAATTTACTTTAGATTAAGTTGAATTGATGAAATGATGTACTTCTAGCTTTAAATGTTATTAAACTTCAAAATGATATTCCAATAATATTGATGTTGTAAAATTAGGATTCATAGTATTTTTAATCAATTCTGTTTATCCAATTTAAGTCCCTTTATAAATTTTTATACTCTTACAATAGTTATTGTTTTTTTTATAGATTATAACATAAGGATTATAGTCTGATACAGTATCTAGATCATCTAATTATCTACAACTTATAAACATTTCTAATTTTTCATTTATTTCAAAACATTCATTCTGATTCATTGGTATAATATTATATAAAAACTATGATGAAAGTATGTAGAATAAAATTATTAATATATAATGAATGTCAATGATTTTCTTTTTAATTTGAATTATATTATGCCCTTTCTTCATCTCTTTAAATATGTTCTTATTATTAATCATCATTATCAATAAGAGGAAAAGATACATCTGAATGTTATCTTTATTTATTTATATCTGGATGTTCAATTATATGAGATATCGATTATATTGGTTATATATTATTTCCTTAAATCATTTATGTATTATTATGATTAGACATCAATCCATTTAAAAATGTGCTTTATTGAATATTATTCTAAGTTTATTAATCTTAATTAAGATTATATAGATTTTGAGAAGTATATGGTTACTTAAAATTCTCTTATTCAGTTTATAATGGATTCTACACATTATTATAAATTTGATGATAGAGATGTTATCCAAATACTTATTGCCCCTTACCTTAATCTAATTATTATTAAAATAAAAATGGTTATTGTTGCATAAATTATTACTAATTCTAAGTTACAATAGTTCTTTCATCTGGTTAATATTCTTCATCTGCTTCTCCCAAAAGACGTTTTAATGTATTCTATCTTTATATTCCTTTAGGTTAATAGTATTAATCAAATTAATAGTTTTAAACAATGAAAGGTTATTATTTCTATTCTCGATTTCCTGGCATTTTTCCAATAGTTGACATATAATTAACAACTTAATCTGGTAATTCTGATAACACTTCTTAAGCAAATTTCTTTTATTCATTTTTATAATTATTAAAAACTACAAATTTAACTAAATCTCTTGTTGCCTTTCTACCTTATGAATCAATTTCATTTAATTCATTATTATTCAATCTTTCCATTAATGTAAAATCAGCATCTCCAATACCAATAATAATAATTGAAATTGGTAATTCACAACAATCTACTATCATTTCAAATGAACCATCAAAATCACTTATAATACCATCTGTTAAAATAGCCAATACAACATATTTTTCACTTCCTGCATCTTTAAATCCTTTAGCTGTTTTCATTGCTTCTTTTAATGTTGGTCTAAATAATGTAGGTCCAGAAAATTTAACTGTTCCAACAAAATTTCTATAAGTTTGAAATAATCCTAATATATTTACAACTCTATTATATATATTTAATATTTTACTCTGGATCTTCTAAATTATGATTCAAAGGATAACAATGATGTGCTTTACCATTCATTTCAAATCCAAAACCAAATAAAGGAACTCTTTTATCATGATCATATTAAATTAAGATTTCTGAGACATTTCTTAATGCTTATTCATATTAACTAAGTCTTTTGTTAGTTACATCAAAATAATGTAAACTTTAAGGATTTGTAGGTTCTAAATTAGAATCAGTAAAATCAATAGATATCATAAGATTCAATTATAAACCTTCCTATAAATATTATTCAAAAGTAGGTATTTCTCTAAATAGACATTTTTAAATGCTTAATTATCCTATTATAGATTAATTTCCCTTATGTTATAAATTTCTATAACCTTTCTTGTCTAACATTTAAGATATTGATAAATTGACAGATCCTATATAAATATCATTGCTTCTTCCTTTATCATAAATATCTATTTATAATACAGCATCACTATCATTATTACAAATATCTCTAGCCATTTTTTTAATCTCAGGCCTATCATATATATTTAAAATTGATACCAAGTTCTTCTTTCAGGATATTTAATAGGTTCAGATTGATATACTAAATTAGATTCATTAGTGTCTTGAAAGGTTCTTGAGATTTTAATATATGGTTAAGAGGGAGATAGATTGAAGATGCAACACTTCCTACTTAATGATTCAGCAGCTAAAGATAATAGATTAGTTTTACATAATATCAACTCAACCATATCATTTTTATACTTCTAATATTCTCCAATGATTACTATTCTTCCAACTTTCTTACTTTTATTACAAATATCTGTATAATAGATCTAATCCTTAGCTGCTAATAAAGTTTAAATGTTCACTTCTGTGTACCCAATTAACTGGAATATTTTTAAATTATTTACATGTCTCTTTTCTTATTGACAGTTATAAACCTCAAATAAGACTTTATATGATATTTCGAATTAATAATTCAATTAGATAGATGTACTAAATTAAGGGTTTCTTTAATTTAATTAAATCTCTGTTTTACCCTTTTCATTCCCTAAAAAATAAGTTTGTAATTCTTACATTTGTTATCAGCTTATTCTTTAACAATAACAACAGAATTTATTTCACTTACATTTTGAATTGGATTTAACTCATAGCATTTGATTCTCACTACAAAGAACTTTTATTATGAACTCATTAAAAAAAATATTATTTTAGAAACTTTTTTAAATAATTTTATCATTTTATTTTTGACAAATTCTTATTTGATTTGTTAATTTAGTTTCTATTTTAAATTCTCTTTAACATTTTCAACAAAACAATTAGATTTATTGATATTATTTAAAATATAATAATACTTAAACATTTAATGGAATAATTGCAGACTATATAATCTTTTTATGATTAACTAATCAAAGAATTAGAAAAGAAATTTGAAGAGAAATTATCATAACTTAACAAAAGGTATCATGTAATGGAAACCTCTTTGAAATAAAAGATAAAATTACTTGAAGCTGGAAAACATTAAAAATCAGAAGATTTAGAAAAAGTAAAATTGAAAGCCAAAATATTCTCATTAGAAAAATAATTATAACAATTAGAATCTAGAGACAATATATTACATCGATCAGATTAAAAATCAACTGAATCTTAAGCACCATAAGAAGTATTTTTGAGTGTATTAGATTCCGTATTTAAACAATTGGGAAATAATTTTGAATATCCTTAATTTCTATACCCATAAATAGATAGTCTCATACCCAATTTAATTGAAATCTTACCTACTTCACTTAGTTTATTGTCAGACATGACCTTTTTACTATTTAAAACAAAATTTTATCATAACTTTTTAGCAATTCCTCACAGTATTATATATTAACTATATATTAAAGATAAATAATTATAGGAAGATAGAATCAAATTAAAAAGTATAGAATAACATGTTAATGAAATTATGTTTTGTGGTGGATGTCATTAAAATTTTGAAATTTGTTTTAATCCTTAAACAGAAGAATGGAAAAAAAAGATTTTAGAAAAAGAAATTGATAAACCTATTATCTAACCTCATACTTTATAATTAACATAAAGCACAATCATATAAAATTATATTATCAAAGCTGCAAAATAAAAATTAGAATCTACTTATACTAAAGTTATAAGAGACAATAATTAAATTCCTCATTTGAATTTTTATTAATAACTTAAATAGAAACATGTGTTATTTGAAAGATTAAATTGTGTCATTCTTCTTTTGATTCTTTCCTTTACTAAAGATAATATTATCTATGCTTTAAATAATATTACTTAAGATTTAAGAATAGATGTATCATTAATTATTATTTAAATTAGAATTAAATATTACTTTAGTAATTAATTTAATAGATTCATAAGAAAGATCTTGGTATTTATCATTTATATTTATATTTAGATATGTTAATATTATTTAAATTGAAAGATTATGGATCTGATATAGAATTATAATATGCTAGTGTCAATTATATCTAAGAATTAAATAAAAAAGGAATTAAATTGTAATTCTTATAATATAAATCTTAGTCCTTAATCTGAATAATACTTAAAAGAACATATTAAGACTGGAATGGATTAAGAATTAATTTAGATGATATAATAATTAGAATGAAAACATTAAAATATTTATATATATATATGAAAAAATATTTAGAAATAATAATTTTATATTTCTTCTTTAGGTTATCTTATAAGATTATAACACTTAAATAATGAAGAATTATAAAATTTCTAATTATTTCAAAAAAGAATTAAAGATAATTTATCTATTTTATTAAATTGTTTACTATAACATCTTCATAAACTTTTTATTTTTCTTAATATATAAGAGATTTATATAGTAATATATATTTATGAAGTGACTATTAATATACAATTTCGTTTTTTTCCATATTCTATATTGAATTTTTTGGAGATTTTAAAATCAATCAGATTTTATTCAGAAAAATAACATCTTTTTATTTGGATATGGGATTATTCAAATAATAATTAATAATACACAATAATGATAAATGTGCTTTTATTGTCCATTATCTATATGGCATATTCTTAAAGGGAATAAGCTATCTGCAATTAAGAAATATACTTAGATCTTGATGTTGATGAAGAAATAGTAGATCATGCCAAACAAAATGGTACTGATATAGTATTAACAACATCAAAATTCTTTTTGTTGGATGATGGATTAAATATTTTGAATACATACACAACTCCTAATAATGGAACACATATCTGTAATCTAGTATCAGGTCATCCACTTTAAAGTTTGTTCTTGTTAGCCTGTTAATCAGAAGGAAGATCACCATTCTTTGTAGCTTACAAATAAACTTCAAATAATTCATATTCAGTTTTTGGTGAATATTAAGGTGTTCCAACAATATCAGAAGTTTTTAATAAATTTGCAATCGTTGGAAATACATTAATTATCCCATAAAAAAATAAATTAGTTTTTTTCACAACAGTAATTCAAGCCACTTCTTGGTACATTCGTACAACTGCATATACTTTGGATGCTTAATTTTTTAATACATCAAGCTTGAATATTACTGATTTTAGTTTATCATCATACGAATTAGATCAACAAACCTATTACAGAATATTAACTTTAGATTATGAAAATGGTGTTTTTTGGGCTGATGCAATATCTAGATCAAATAATTTGATTCCATTTAATAATGGATTTATTAATGTAAAATAAAGTTTCTATATTCCATATTCTTCTAGATTCAGATAAGTTACTCCTGTTAAAGTATCTTAGAATATTACTTAATTTATTATATAAACCTATGCTGATAGTAGTTTTTAAATTGAATATTCAATTAATAATTCCTATCTCTAATTATTGACAACTTTAAATAGATATAAAGATTGGAATCCATTTTCATCAATTAGAACTAATAATAACATAGTTGCTGTTCCTTATTAAAATTATCAAAAAACAGTTGTGATTAATTTGTTTAATATTGGATTTAGATTGAATGATTAATAAACTAACTTAAAGTAAGAACCAACAGATTTATTGATTTCAGCTTCAATAGAAAACTTAATTTTATATTTTACATCAGAAACATAATTAGTTTATAGAAGTGATTTCGATACTCTAACATTATGTACCTTATCTAACTATAAAGTTGAATGATAATGATAATTATTATTATTAACAAATGTACAAAATAAACACTTAATAAATATTTTTATTAAATATATATGAATACCTCTTTTGAATAAATTAATCGATCACCTTTAAATAGATCTGTTTCAAAAGCTCTCTATTCATTTCCAAAAGCTAATCGTTTCAAAGAGTTTAAGGATAAACCGTAACTATATTTGGTTTATCATTAGATGTCCAAATATTTATAATATTCCATCTATGATGAGCAAACGTAGTGCTGGAATAGGATATGGATAAAAATCAAATTTTATTTAGGAAAGCATAACTCCAGGACCCAATAATTATGAAATCAAAACTACTCTTAATGTTAGTAACGGTTGGACTATGCCAGTTGGTAGAGATGTATTGATAATAAATTTAATCTTAGAAAGGGAATAAATATGAAGGTATCTTTATTGGACTTATTTAAAAAACTCCTGGACCTGGAGAATATGAATAAAAGGATACTAAATCTCCTATTAAGTATACTATAAGAATGAGAACTGAAAGTCAAAAAGATAAGGATAGAAAACCAGGACCGTAAGTCTTATTAATATTTTAGAGGATAATATAATTTACCATCAGCACTCAATGAAACAGGAAAATATAAAATTAGCAAATTTAGAGAGTAAAATAATTTATTTTATCTAGTTCTGGAGCAATTATTCTTTCACCTTAAAAATCTAAAAGTTTTCGATTTTCACCAGCAAAAGATCCATCACCAGGACCTGGGGATTATGCTCATTTAGGAGATATTGATCCAAAAGGATTGTATTATTGTTCCAAATTTGCAGATACAAAATCTACAATATTTACAAGAACTAAGAGAGAATTAACTAAAATTAGAGCAGAATCTCCAGGACCTGGGGCTTATAGATTACCTTCAGAATTTGGGTATTTAGATAAATTATGTTAGTCACTATGAAAAACCGAATAAATGATTTTATTATAATTTTGGCATCGTCTTTCTTTATGGTTCAATACGCAATCTCTATAATTAAGTTAGCTAAGTAAGGCCATTAGTTTTAGTCTTTTTTTGTGAGAGACTTTATACAATCTTCGAAATTCTCTGTTTGTTGTCTGTTCTGGATATACGAAACTTAAGTTCTTGAGTTCTCTTAATCATTTTCTTGGGTACCTCCTAAAATCACGCATTAAAGTATCTTTGTTCTTGAATGTTCCTTGAGTGGATTACAATCTCTTCATTAGCTTCTAGTTTTCATCAACGATTTTCATAGCTTCTTTTTTCCTTTTTGGTAAATTCAAAGATCTAATTGAACTAGCAGAATGTTATCTTGTAGATGGTTTAATTTTAATAATTCTATCCAATATTTTGCTATTTTCTTAATACAAAATTTTATCTCTCATCTATTGAATAGATGCTTTACTGTTATACTGATTCGTTTTAATTTTCTATAGTTTATTTGAATCCATATGAAATTACTAATATTGTAAAAATGTACCTTTTTAGATGAACTTCTGTCACTAGCTATCATTTATACTCTTTCTCTATGTGATTTGAATCTTTCATATTAACAAACTGAGTTAATTATATTTTGTTCAATGTATTTTGGAGCTATCATTTATAAATATATAAATTATATAATAATCATTAATAGTAATCATAATCTTTTATAGTATTAAAATTAGAATTTAAATTTTTAATAGCAAATCTTTACATTCTGACTTTTATCAAATTAGGTTACAAGACTTCTTCAAATATATGTACTGTATTTTCCAATTAAATAGAATTAGGATCTATAAAGAGATATTTTTCAGTCATATTATGATGTAAAGACATCTAAGATTTTCGTTTATTTTTGAATTGAAACTTAACCTTATTTTTTAATAATAAATATAGTTTAATACGAGATCTACATTTAGCAAAATAATTTTTGATTCTCTTTGCTTTTTAATTCTATTTACTTATATGTAAAAAATGTTCATTCAATCTTAATAATTCAAAAACTTTGAAAAGAATCAAACTTTCTTAATTACTTTATTAAATATTAAAATCAGCACCATCATTTTATTATTCATCTATTTATGTTAAACAAAAATCTATTCCTTTTTTAAATTATAATGAATCATAATCTATAATCTTATTGTTACTTCTAATTTTACTAATTGCTGATTTATCTATCAATGCAGTAGTATAATCTTAAAATCGTTCCCATTAAAATGAAAATGCTTAAAATATATTTTATAATGTAATTATTGGTTCTCTTTCTAACCATCTACTTTAAAATCTAAACATCTAATATTAATTTATAATTTATACATCATCTATATACTTCACAATTTCAACCAAACCAGAAATAAATTATTATAATAACTCATATCTAATTTAATCTAAACTAAATCCACAACCTAATCCTAATTCTTTTATATAAGTATAAAATTCTTCTAAATGAATATTTTTTTATCTAAGTAATTCAACATTTTTAAGAAACTAAGTATGATTATGTTTATTATCAAAAAAGTCTTATTTAAGTGTAAAAATAGAAATAACCTTACGTTTATCAATCTCAATTTGCTTTATATCATACATTTCATCTTAATATTAAAATTCCTCTTCCATTGATTCTATTGACAACTGTAATTAATCTTCTTTCTCTGGTGGCTAAGTCAACTCATCTTCTACTCTTTATTTTCTACTAATCCTCATTGTGTGTAATTTTATTTAATTGAAACGTTCAATTTAAGGTGGCTCATCAATAGAATCTAAACAATCAAAAAATTCATCTTGCTCTGGAATATCAAAATCAATATCATGTTCATAACGAAAATACTCATTCTAATCTAAATCCTATTTAATATATTCTTAAACAATATCTAAATCAAGATATTTTGAATCAGTACTAACCTTTCTATGCTATTACATTAGTGAAAATAATATATAAAAAATATAATTTATTCAAAATCTCTTAATTGTGACTTGCTATTCTTTTATATATGAGTAATTTTAAAACTAATTCTAAATAGTTTCTTATCTTAATAAAATTGAATTCTCTTAAATTTCTTTTTCTAATGAATCATGTTCTGATGATATCTCTCTTATATAATTTTCCTCACTACATTTAGATAATTTAAATGGAGAAGCTAATTATTTCTCATGCAAACTCTTCCAAGGAAATCCTGCAAACCATTAATGACCATAAATGTCCTAAGTACCATTAAATCCTAATCTATTCTAAGGTTTCCTTGAAAGTAATTAATTTATAAGATCTGCTGCTTCTAAAGACCATCCTAAAGGAAGATCACCTTTCTTTAATTGTATCTATTTTGCAATAATAGCATCTCTTATATCTTTCCTTGTCTTACCCAAATATGGTCGTCTACCAAACATAAATTCGTACATCATCACTCCTAAAGCAAAATGATCAACTCCTATACCATGATTTAATCTGAACATAACTTCTGGTGCTATGAATGTATATTTAATATATATGTACCCATATAACCAGGAGTTCCACTTGTCTCTTAAGCATTGTCTTATTTGATTATTCTTGCTATTCCAAAATCAGTCAATCTTGGATAACCATTTCTATCCAATACAATATTTTCAGGTTTTATGTCTCTATGAATAATTCCATTCTAATGTAAATAATCAAGAGCTAAAAGTATACTAGCAATTACAAATTCTAAATTATCAAACTATTTTATTACTTGTATGTTATTCACTGAATCTTTTCATCTTACCAATATGAAATCTAAGATCTCCACCAGATAATAAATCCATAATCAAATATAAATGTTCACGATCCTAAAAAGCATAATGAATATTTGCTATAAAAGGGTGTTTTAATTATGATAAGAGAATTCGTTCATTCATTACAGAATTGACTGACTTTTTAGCCATAATCCTAATAGATTTATTTCTCTTACTTAGCTTTACTCATCTCTTTCATAGCATACAGTTTTCTTGATTTCACCAATTCAACTCTCCAAACTTTACCAAAACCTCCTTTTCCAAGTATATAGTGAAATTTAAAACTATTTTTATTAATTTCAGAATCTATTGATGGCATACATTTTGTTTGAGACTCTTCAATTAATCTGGATGTAGGTCAAGAGTAGATAGAGTTCCTCATAGGTCTCTTCTCCTTTGATTTAGAATGATGATTCAACATTTATTAATCTCCTCCTAACTACAATTAAAAAGGCTTGCGAGTTATCGAATATAATTAAGGACTATAACTTTTCTTTTAACTTGATTAACCAGGACTTTTATTCCTATTGGAAATAAAAGATAAATCATTTTAAAAACCAATATTTGTTTTCCACATCATTTTCTACTCTTTTGGAGATGATGGAGTTGAAATAGGAGGAGGATTCTTAAATGAAGGTAATCTTGATTATCGAGATGTCAAAATTGATTAGTTTACATTCGCTCGATAAGCTCCACCATCGATAATAAAATTTTGTACAAGATTTCGTTAACAAATGGAATTTTTCATTTCAGAAAATTAATATATATATATATGTTGATATCACTTATGAAATCTATGGAAAACATTTAAATATCATTATATTGATTGTCTTTTTATTCTTATCTTTCTTATTAAAACAGATTATGTTCTGACTGTGGCTAATGATTGATTTTATTAAGAATTTAGCAATTGATGTAAACTATTATTTCTTAATCTTTCTAATCTTAACTCCTACTATTTCTAATTTTAATAGTAAATAGATTTTTAGAAATTTTCTGAAAGTTGATTTTTCATTTTTCGACTTGTCTTACTACGACTTGTATCCTCTGGCAAGTCTTTAGTAATAATAGTAAAATTAATTTTGTCACTTGATGGTGCTGGTATTCTCCTCTTCTTTGGACTTCTATTTCCAGATGTTGGAGATGAAAGTTTTCTTCTTTTTGGCAATTTGGATAACTAATCAAAAAAGGCTTGTTCTTTGAATATCTTCTTATATCTTAATATTATTCTAACTCCCCATATAATTTATTTCCATTTTTTCAATATAGTTTATCTTTTATTATGATTTGTACAAAAGTAAGGAAGTGATAACATTATCAATTAAGCAGTATTATTCAATGTACCTTCAGTTTTTGATTCAGAACTTTTTCCTCTTTTGTTAAATTTGAACCTTTTTTATATCACTGTTGTACAATAAATATTTTGATTTCTCTTCATTTAATGCTACCAATTCTACAAAGAATTTCTTTTAAGAAGTCATTAATAATTATGGTTGTATTCTAAGTGTTCTTCTTTTCCCAATCTAATTTTACTAGGAAAGGTTGAAACGGGCGGCTTTCTCAAAACGACGAATTTGATAGTTCTCCATATCATTTCTGTATGTAGTTGGAAGATTTCTATAGTGAATCATTAAAGTAATTTTAAATAAGTCAATAAATAAGAAAACTAAAGGAAAATTTTGTTTATTTGATTAACATAAACTAATCGAAATTCCTTCTTAGAATGTTAATAATTTATCTTAATTTCTAATTTAATGGGTATCTCATCATTTTGTAGTTTTATAAATTGAATCTGTTTTTATATGTCCACTCTAATTTATCATCTGTTTCCGTCTTTTAATTACACTAAATTATCTATTGTTTGCTTTTTCAATATAAGTTTAGCGTAGTATTTATATTATTGATTTCTATATTTTATAATTGGCAATGTAATCCAAATAATCAAAAAAGTAGAATTAATTTGTCCTATCTTAATTTACTTAATTCCTTTCATCATTATGTCGATCTATTAAGTGATATCAAGAATTATAATATTCATATATTCTGCAATAGATATAAATACTATAGAGAATTTGAATTCCATTTCTTTTTCACCTTAAAAATTTACAATGTTAGCAATTCGATTATAAATATTCTTACTAAAAATTATAATACATATTATTAAGATCATATTAGCTAAATTATTTTTTTGGTTCAATAATAGACGATTTTAAACATGATAAATATTAGAAATACTAAACTTGATTAATATAATACATATATTTTATAGTAAGGTTCTAGTTAAATCAAGTATAAATTTCATCATTTCAATTCTACTCTATATAATCAATAATTTTAATTCCATAACATATTGTTCACTTCAGTTTATACATTTCTCTTTATCAACATTTTTTCTAGAAAAAATATACTATATATGTTTTAATAGTTAATTTTTACTTTAATCTCACTAAAAAAATCTGACAATATTATCACTTTAAATACTAAAAAATTTTTTATCAATTACATTAAATAAAATAAAAAGTTTAGATCTGTCTAACCTTTCCCATTTTCACATATTTAATAACCATCAAAAATGGCTAACTAAACTGAATAACAAATCAATATATCAATCTCAGAAAACCTGAACGGTCTTGATAATCAATTACCCATCCTGTCCTTCCTGAAGAGACCAAAAAATACTAATCCTAAAAAATCACTGAATAGTAAACAATATGAATAATAAGTAATCATTTATTATAATTTAGAACTGTGAATATCAAATCGAAGTGATTAACCACAAAATTGTAGAAAAACAATTCACTATCTATTAAATTAAAGTGACTTATGGATCACTTTATTGGATATTTTAAACCAGATATAGTCTTCTAGAAGGACTCCATTCAAAATTAAATAAAGATGTGATCCATCGACTTACCAAATTCCCTGAAAAACGACTCTTTGGTAACATGGATCAGAACTTTGTTTTAAAAAGAAAAATTGAAATCAATTAATACCTCAAAGTACGCACTATTTTAATTTTTAGAGCTTAATTTAATATGGAAAGAATGAAAAGCCTGTTAAGGATTTTATTAAGTAATCTTAAAAAGCCGCCATAGAAATCAATGATCCATGTGAACTGAAACATTTTAAATTAGATTTATGAAGTAACAGAAATATCTATATAAATATTAAATCATAAAAATTTCTTATATATTTTTAACTCTTAAGGCATTGCTCCTATACTCTAATCACTTTTCTCAATATTTTTTCCATAATTGCTAGAATTAGTATATCTATGACTAGTATTTTAATGAGAACTTGTTTTTCTATGTTAAGATGGAGTAGAGAGTCCTAAAATTTCTTATTGTAATTTCTGCATCACTTTAATAGATTAGACTAATTCACCATCATTATCTCCAATTCTAGATGTCAATACCTTGAGTTTAGAATATACTATTTATGGATCAATTTATTTGCCATTTGCAGCATTTATTACATCTCTCTCCAATTTTTAAACATTCTTTTGAACCATCTAAAAATATGATTAGATTATTTAAACAGATGCATTCTCTTCAACCTCTTATATTAAACCAGTAGAACTTCGCTTGTGTCTTNTAATCAATAATTTTAATTCCATAACATATTGTTCACTTCAGTTTATACATTTCTCTTTATCAACATTTTTTCTAGAAAAAATATACTATATATGTTTTAATAGTTAATTTTTACTTTAATCTCACTAAAAAAATCTGACAATATTATCACTTTAAATACTAAAAAATTTTTTATCAATTACATTAAATAAAATAAAAAGTTTAGATCTGTCTAACCTTTCCCATTTTCACATATTTAATAACCATCAAAAATGGCTAACTAAACTGAATAACAAATCAATATATCAATCTCAGAAAACCTGAACGGTCTTGATAATCAATTACCCATCCTGTCCTTCCTGAAGAGACCAAAAAATACTAATCCTAAAAAATCACTGAATAGTAAACAATATGAATAATAAGTAATCATTTATTATAATTTAGAACTGTGAATATCAAATCGAAGTGATTAACCACAAAATTGTAGAAAAACAATTCACTATCTATTAAATTAAAGTGACTTATGGATCACTTTATTGGATATTTTAAACCAGATATAGTCTTCTAGAAGGACTCCATTCAAAATTAAATAAAGATGTGATCCATCGACTTACCAAATTCCCTGAAAAACGACTCTTTGGTAACATGGATCAGAACTTTGTTTTAAAAAGAAAAATTGAAATCAATTAATACCTCAAAGTACGCACTATTTTAATTTTTAGAGCTTAATTTAATATGGAAAGAATGAAAAGCCTGTTAAGGATTTTATTAAGTAATCTTAAAAAGCCGCCATAGAAATCAATGATCCATGTGAACTGAAACATTTTAAATTAGATTTATGAAGTAACAGAAATATCTATATAAATATTAAATCATAAAAATTTCTTATATATTTTTAACTCTTAAGGCATTGCTCCTATACTCTAATCACTTTTCTCAATATTTTTTCCATAATTGCTAGAATTAGTATATCTATGACTAGTATTTTAATGAGAACTTGTTTTTCTATGTTAAGATGGAGTAGAGAGTCCTAAAATTTCTTATTGTAATTTCTGCATCACTTTAATAGATTAGACTAATTCACCATCATTATCTCCAATTCTAGATGTCAATACCTTGAGTTTAGAATATACTATTTATGGATCAATTTATTTGCCATTTGCAGCATTTATTACATCTCTCTCCAATTTTTAAACATTCTTTTGAACCATCTAAAAATATGATTAGATTATTTAAACAGATGCATTCTCTTCAACCTCTTATATTAAACCAGTAGAACTTCGCTTGTGTCTTGAATTATCTGAAGTTTAATTAGATGAGTTTTAACAATCTTTAGAGATTTCTTTCAAAAATTGATTTTCTTTTTCTTTGTTATACTCTATTGTACATCTTTATTTGTCATCAAATAACATTTATTTGTTATTCTCATTATACTTGTCAAAAATACTAATCTAATGTTACACTTGTTAATGATAGACACTCTCTAAATTATTTTGGTTGTTATTTTTTTTTATTTATTGAGGGAATACTATATCGGATTGATTTTAATTTATAGCATTTTATAGATGTTCCTGAACATATATATTTGTATTTTAAGTCTTTTACTTTTGTTTATATTGCTAAATAGCTTAAACTTAAGCAATCTACTTTTTATTATCAGTTTATTAGAATAATAATTAGGAAGAGAGTGTGGTTGGAGTAGCAACAGGAGTATTCGAATTGGGCTTTAAAAAATCATTTAATTTTTACTATTAAACATTAGATGTGTTTGCTTAAGTTTTGGCCTTACCTGTAAAATAATTTTTTTATTACATTCTAAAGCAATATCTGGATGAGGCATCTAGTATGATTATTTTTTTTAGTGATTCTATTAAGCAGGCTTCTAGAATTATTTTGTTGGGGATGTTTTCTCATTTGCAACAATAGCTTTCTTTTTATTAGAATGATTATGATTAAAAGCAGTTTGGGCATTGTTGTTTGTAGCTTATACATTTAACATTTATGAGTTCTTTGAAAAGACTTCTTAAATTTGATAAGCATTAGATTCTCTTCTCCCAAAAATTGCCTCCTATTAATTTTTTTACAAAGAAAACTAGCTCTGTTTTATATTTGCTAAAATATTTACTTCATTCAAGACCTCCTTTTCCATTTCACTAGAATCAGTTATCAAATATAATTCATTACTCTCCAATAATAAATTTTTAATATCATAAGTATGTGTCATTTTATTGCATTTTGGACATTAAATGCGAAACTTATTTTGTATTTGACTAATTGTTGATCTATTAATTACCTGGTATTTTCTTATATCTATATCTTTAATCCACATTTTAAACAAAGTGAATGAGAACAGATTAGTTGTATAGGATTTTAACTAGTCATTTTACATAATTAGCAAATCTGCATAGAGTTTTGGCTTTTATTTAGCATTAACTGATTATTATAATATTTATAATTAATAGAAGCATTTTAATAAATTTTAATACTTCTTGTTCTATTCCATTTATTTTTTCATTAATTTAATTATAATTCTAGAGGAATATTTTAAAAGTATTCAACTAAGAATGCTTCAGAATACTAATATTTTTCAATGAAAAAATTTTGTTGCAAATTAAAATATAAAATAAATCAATTAAAATGACTGAATTGGATGAATTTGATTCTAATTTGAATGCAGAATTAGATAAATTGTAAAAAGAAATAGATTCACTAAGCAAAAAAGAATATAATTAAAAAAATGCTGCAATTAAGAAATGTTAAGCTCAAGTTAAAAGCATTTCCACTTTGATTGAGAGTTATGAATTAGAGATTAGCAATCTCGATAAAGCTTAAAGTGCAAAGTATTTTAATGTTTTACTTTAGGTATAATGACTCATTAAGGTCAATCAATTAAAGATTTTAAAGATTGAAAAATGAATTAGAGTTTAAAAAAAATGAAGGGTAAAACTAGGAGAATCTATTTAAAGGAAGGTCAGAATAGTAACCTTAAAGATTGGAGGATATGAATAGATAATAAGTTATTGATATGGGAGATTAAGTATAGCAGAATGGTACTTTATAGAACCAATAATATTTTAGCCATCATTAAATTAAATGAGATTACTAAAACAGTTTAATAGGGTAATGAATTAGCAGATTAAATCAACATGGAATTAGATAAACAAATAGCATAATTAGATAGGATGTATGATACAGTAATGGATACTTAATCTGTTTTGAAAAGATCAGCCAAATATATTAAATATTTTGCAAGGTTTCATTTTAAAATTAATGAGTAGATAAGTTTATACTGACAAATTGTTAATGTGCTTAATAGGTCTAATTTTTATAGCCATTATAGTTTTAATAGTATTATCAGCATTAGGATTGGATGATGGAAAATTCAATACTCCAGATTAAGTTAAAGGTTCTTTAGCATCCGATAGTAGTAGTACCACAAATTCAACTACAACAACTGGATCTGGATGATATATAATAAATTATAAGATTTATTAAAAAAATATTTTCCAAATTCTAAATCAATTGGTTAAGAATTTTTCAAAAATTTTGATTATATAAATCAAAAACTGAGACTTAAAATCATTATTAGAATAAAAAAAAGTTTTGTTTTTATATTCTAAGTTAAATATGAGAATTATATTGTTTTTAACTTATAATAGGAAAACGTTATTAATTTGTTTAAATTTATTTAAACTTATTTCAATAATCAATTACAATAATGAAAAATATGATATTATTGATTGAAATTCTTTCATTTTAGAATTTTAAAAAAGATTTGAATTTCTTTGCATGTATTCTTAAAAGGATTAGAAAGAGTAAAAAAGAGACATTTAAATGAAAATTGGGAACTAATTAATGTTGTTTTAAATAAAGAATTAACTAAAGCAGTCTGAAATAATAATAAGTATTTATAACAGTAGCTATTTATGAGAATAATTAAATATTATTTAATAACCATTTACTCATTTAAATAAAATCAATTAATAATATAAATTATATTATAAGATGATTTTAAGCCCACTTGAATAAATATTATTAGCATTATAATATTTATTTTTAGATATGGTGAAACTATTCTAAGTTTTATTCTTAGTGTTTTTAACTTAATTTCAGTTTATTAATAGTATGTAATATCTAAATTCATAATTTAATATAAATGATTATTGTGACTTTAAATATTTTGCTATTTTACTCTAGAGTAACGCCTGTAGAAGGGTATTCTATATTAAGATTAAACCCATCATACTAATTTTATAACTAATCATTTTCAAAAAAAGTATTATAGATTGATGATCCTTACTGTTATCAATAGGGAATATTTACTAGATATAATCCTCTAAATGATATTCAATAATTAGGAGAAATTGGAATTTTAGACAGCAATTGTTTCCATATATATCATACCTTAGATAATATTAAGTAAAATATAAACTTTTTGTATTATGATTGTATTGATTACGAGAAATTATAGATAGAAAAAACATATACATTTATTGGAGATGATGGTAATATTTATAAAAAATCATATAATCTGAACATACATGAATATGAATCATTTTGGTACTTTTTAGGTATTATTGTTAATCTAGCAGAACAATAAGTTGTTATATGTCTTTTCTAAAATTAAAAAATATTAGATACACAAATATATAATCTCAAATATCCAAATTATGATGCAGATTTATAATATATCTATGGGGGGGGTTTATAGATAAATATTGATTAAACCCTTTTTAATGAATAAATATCTAAGCTTTCCTATTTTCCAGGAAATTATATGAGATATAGTTTAGGTTATGAAAGTAGAAAGGAATTATGTTAGGTGAAAAATTTTGAAGATCAATTGACAGTTGTTTTATTAAGTTGCAAATGTTAATTGAATAAAGTTAAAAATATTCCTGATTCCCTTATCTCTTAACTAAATCAGGAATATTTCATATCAGAAAATTTAAATTGTGATTCCTTTAATTTCTAAACATGGATTAGAATAAAAGAAAGAAATAATTATGTTAAAGAAATGGATTATTAATTAATTAAAATATCT